CGAACTGCGCCACTGGGACCTTCGGTGGAGCTCCCTATGGGGCAACGAAGCGCTGTACTGGGTGGGGGGGGACGCATGCGAACTGCGCCACTGGGACCTTCGGTGGAGCTCCCTACAGGGGCCACGAAACGCTGTACTGGGTATGGGGGAGACACATGCGAATTGCGCCACTGGGGCCTTCGGTGGAGCTCCCTATGGGGCCACGAAGCGTTGTACTTGGTGGGGGGGACGCATGCGAACTGCGCCACTGGGACCTTCGGTGGAGCTGTAAGTTGTGTAAGGTATGGGGTGCAAACCCATGTCGCCTCGCCGTCACTAACGTGTGACCGGCTGCACGCCATTGGCCCGTGGACCAGCGTTAGGAGAAATTCTCCCGAGCTTGTAGTGTGTGATTGTGTGTGTGTGTGCTGCCACCCACGGTAGTCATGAGTTCGGCACGCATCCAGTCCTCGTTGCTTTTGACCCGCTGATTGCACTCATCGGCGCGCCAGAGAAACAAACAGGTGTGTGAGTGTGTATCTCTCTCTCTCTGTCTCTCCATCTCTGTCTCTGTCTCTGTCTCTGTCTCTGTTTTTGTCTCTCTCTTCTCTCTCTCTCTCTCTTTCTCCCTCTCCCGAATACGACGACGACGCCGACGCCGACAACGTTGCCGACGCCGATGCCGACGCCGACGCCGAAGCCGAGGCCGACGCCGTCGCGCCGCCGCCGACGACGACGACGACGACGAGGGCGACGACGACGACGAGGACGACGACGGCGACGACGACGACGACGACGACGACGTGTTGCTGGCAGCTCCGCCGTTCAGTGGCCACGGCAGGAGGCCGAGCAGATGGCCGCCGCCCTGGAGGCCGCGGAGGAGGGGGAGCCGACCCTGTACTCGGCCGCCTCGGCCAGGCCCACGGCGGTGAGGTGTTGGGGGGCAAGCGGCGCGCGCATCCCTGGTTTGAAGCAGGGAAGCGCTATAAACATACACTTCTGGCGCTCCGCGCGGATTTCTTGGATCCTCGCTGGGCCGCCCCGGCGGCGCCTCCAGCGCCGCCCCTGGTGCGCTCCGCGCGCTAGGGAGGGGGGGTCCAGCGCAAATCCAACGCGGAGCGCCAAGAGTTTATGTGTATGTAGTTTTCTCTTATTTTGTGTTGGCGGTCAAGCGGCGCGCATCCCTGGCGGACGCGTAGGTAAATGGAGTGAAACAAGATAACAACGGAATGTACGCACGAGCACAGGAAGTAGGAGGAGGAGGAGGAGGAGGAGGAGAAGGAGGAGGAGGGGGAGGAGGAGAGGAGGATGAGGAGGGAGGAGGAGGAGGAGGGAGGAGGAGGGAGGAGGAGAGGAGGAGGATGAGGAGGGAGGAGTATGTCGCAAAAGCTTGGGAACTGACATCGCCCACTGTTGTCTCGGGCGGCAGCGTCGCACACTAGTGATTTAACTAGTGAGGCGTCGCTACGGGGCAATGTGTGCAATGCCTATCCCCCTCGCGTTCGCTTCTGTCCTTCCTCCTCCTCCTCCTCCTCCTCCTCCTCCTCCTCCTCCTCCTCCTCATTCCGCATTTGCGGCCGTAATTCGATGCATTTTCGTTGCGTGTTGCCGACCCAGGGTCTGGAAGGATTGGTCCAGCATAGCTGCGCTCTGCACCGCTTGCTTCGGCTTCGGATGGCGCGCTCCAGGAAAACATCGGAGGTGGACAGACCTCCTACCCTGACACGTCGATTAAGGAATTGGCCGTTGTCGGTTCGCGAGAGGGCGTCGCGGCCGTCATTTTTGCGGGTCCAGGTCCGTCGATTTCGGCCCTAGGTCGTTTTCACTAAGGGGAGGTTTACTAAAGGGAGGTTTGTCCACCGCCGAAAAAAAGGCGACGGGACAGACAGCAAGGACATTAGGGGCCGATCTGCATGCTATTCGGCATCTGGCCCCTCCTGCCCAGTGCATGGCGCCAACTTTTCTTCATCTGCTCCCGCCGCGCCTCATTCGGGAACTTCCTTCGAGGAGGGACACACAAGAGCCGCGATGGAAAAGCGGTTCAGCATGTCACATCGATGACGTCCTCTGTGTGCCACGACCTGGCCTCCGAATCCGACATCGTCTGCGTCGGAGCCTAGAATCTCGAGCTCGGTCCGAATCAGAGCTAGGGTCCGATACAGAGCCTGTGTCTGGTACTTGAAGCTTGAATGAGTATGAGCCGCAATCTGAATTAGAATTTGAATCTTAGGTTGAATCAGGGTGTCGGTTCGAGTGTTAGCCAGTTCAGTTGATGAAGCAAGTTGCTTTGAGTCCAAATTCGAGCCCAGACCTGAAGGTGAATCGGACTCACGGTCTGCATTGGGCCCTTGTGCGCTTTCTGGGTTTCACTTGCGTCCGAGTCCGAGTCGGAATCTCGAGTCAGGTGCGAGCCTATATTCAAATCTGTTCACGTCCTCGCGTCTGGTGTCTTGGTCTCTGTGGTTGCCCCCGCGCTCCCCCAGCAGCGCCTGCATCTGGGGGCATCTTGCCCGCGTTCCAGGCAGCCGGCCCAGTGCGGGAGGGTCGGTCCAGGGCCACCCCGTGGGACTGCGCGCACCGTGGCCTCTGTGTTGAGACGGGCGTGCCCCTCTACAGGAGGAATAGTCAAACATAGTCGGGGGACGATTTTTTTTAGTATGTTTGAATATTCTTCGAGGGTGGACAGACCTCCTACCCTGACACGTCGATTATTGAATTGGCCGTTTTCGGTTCGCGAGAGGGCGTCGCGGCCGTCATTTCTGCGGGTCCAGGTCCGTCGGTTTCGGTCCTAGGCCGTTGTCACTAAATTCAGGTTTGCTAAAGGGAGGTTTGTCCACCGCCGAATTCTCTTGCACAGGGTGTCTAGAGCTCCGACAACTTTATTTCGGCACGGCACCCCCTCCATCACCCACCCACTTCACCAGCCAGCACGCCCCCAGCGCGCCCCCATCTCCCCCACCCCATCCACCCACCAGCCAGCGCGCCCCCATCCGCCCCGACCCTTTTATTTCGGCACGAGCCCCCCATCCCCCATCCCACGCGCCCCCTCAGCATCCCCCCCAGCCACCAGCCAGCGCGCCCCCTCCGCCCCGACCTTTTTTTTTTTTTTCGGCACGGCCCCCCTCCCCACACCCAGACCACCATCCCCCCACCCACCAGCCAGCGCGCCCCCTCCGCCTCGACCCCTTTTACATCGGCACGGCACCGCCCCCCCCATTCCGCGCGCCCCCTCCGCATCCCCCCGACCCACCAGCCTGCGCGCCCCCTCCGCCCCGACCGCTTTATTTCGGCACGGCACCCCCCCCATCCCGCGCGCCCCCTCCGCATCCCCCCCCCCACCCGCCAGCGCCCCCTCCGGATCCCCCCCAACCACCACCAGCCGGCGCGCCCCCTCCGCCCCGACCGTTTTAGTTTGGCACGGCACCGCCCCCCCATCCCGCGCGCCCCCGCCGCATCCCCCCCACCCACCGGCCAGCGCGCCCCCTCCGCCCCGACCCTTTTATTGAATCGCTTCGCTCATTCCGCCGACCCATATTGCGCGCCGGTGTCGACTGACCGAGTGGTCTTTCGCGGTGCGGAGCTGCAGGGGCGGCGGCTGTTTTTATCAGGCTTTGCGTTCGGCATGCGAGGCTTCTTGGTGGCCGCTGGGGGAGTCTTGAACGCGTCGCGGGCCGTCTGGTAGCGTTTTGCCTATGGGGACTCTTTCGGGAGGCCTCTTGGTTGCCTCTTGGGGACTCTTAAACGCGTCGGGTCGTTGGCACTTGCTTGCGTGTTCGGGGGGGCATTTGGGGGGCCTCCTGGGGCCGCTTGGGGGCCTCTTGGGGGCCTCCTGAGGGCCTGTTGGGGGCCTCTTGGGGCCCCTTAGGGGCCTCTTGGGGACTCCTGGGGGCTTCTTAGGACCGAGGGCTCGAAATGTTGTTTCGTGTTCCCCCCCTGGGACCTCTCTTGAGGCGTTCTTGGGGCCTTCTTGGGCCGGCTTGGAAGCCTCTTGGGCCGTCTTGGAGCCCTCTTGGGCCGTCTTCGGGCCCTCTTGGAGGCCTCTTGGGCTCTCTTGGGGCGGTCTTGGGGGCCTCTTGGGCCGTCTTGGAGTGTCGGGAAGCCGAAAAAGTGGAAACGCCAAACTCTCTCCAAAACCTAAGCAAAAGCAATGATTTGTGCCTCTTGGGGTCCTCTTGAGAGTGCTCTTGGAGGCCTCTTGGGCCGTCAGGGGGCCATCTTGGGCGTCTTGGGGCGATCTTGTGGCATCTCGAAGCTCTGTTGTATCATCTTGAGGGGCTCTTGGCGGCCTCTTGGCCTTTCTTGGGGCTCTCTGGACGGCCTCGAGGGCGGCGCCCAGGAGGAAAACCATCTCTGACCCGAGTGGAACGGGACCTGCCCCGGGTACTTTTCGTCTGGGGACCCCGAGGGGCCGCCCCGCGCGCGCGAAGTATAATGTTTGTAAAGCAGTTGCCGGAGATCTTAGCACGCCTCTGGCCCGTTGGGCCGGCGAATTTCGGCACGGCCCCCCCCACCCATCCCGCGCGCCCCCTCCGCATCCCTCCCACCTACCAGCCAGCGCGGCCCCCTCCGCCCCGACCTTTCTATTTCGGCACGCCCCCCCCCATCCCACATCCCACGCGCCCCCTCCGCATCCCCCCGACCCATCAGCCAGCGCGCCCCCTCCCCCCTGACCCTTCTATTTCGGCACGGCACCCCCCACCCACCCACACCGCCATCCCCCACCCACCAGCCAGCGCGCCCCTTCCGCCCCGACCCTTTTAATTCGGCACGCCCCCCCCCACCCCCCACGCCCCCTCCAGATCCCCCCCGCCCACCAGCCAGCGCGCCCCCTCCGCCCGCGCCCCCTCCGCCCGCCAGCCCCGCGCCCTTTTTTGTTTTTTGCGCGGACAGCCAATGCGCTCCCTCCGCTCCGACCATCGCACGGCACCCCCCCATCCCGCGCGCCCCCCGCATCACCCCACCCCAGCAGCGCGCCCCCTCCGCCCCGACCCCTTTTTCGGCACGCCGCACCCCCATCCCGC